TTCTTATTTAGAAATTGTTTACATCCATTTTTGTAAATTAATATGAAAGAGTTACATGTTCCATTTGTTTTGAATTTGAAAGAGTCAAAATTCGCCACCAATAATTGCCATGTGGTGATCTCATTAACCGAGTCAAACTCAATAACTGATTTTTCTCTAGAATTAATGTGAATGTTTGTTGCCACATCATTGACAAAGCAATTCAGTGGTTGCTAACTTCTATGAACATAATTGACAACACCAACAAATTTGTCAGTTTGTTGCATATTTCATACAACCGTTGGTTTTTAAGATACTGCCAACACAACTCCACCATGCTATTAAGATGCTATAAACACATGACAATAAGATCAAGCAAGTAAGACTAGCATCTCACACAACTAACCCAACACTATTTACATTTCAATTTTACAAGTAATGTCTTAGTTTAAATTTAACTTTTTTAAACAGTTTTCCTAATTTACTTTTTAGCTCTATGCTACCATTAGATTTAACTCTAGTTTTTGTTATTTTATTTTAAACATCTTTACTGATGTATTTGATTTCTTGCAATTCAATTTACTATAGTTTACTCTAAATTCATCTCCCAAACTTCCTTTAAGTTTAGTTTTATATATGTTTCAACTTTTATTTCATCATTTACGTTTACATGCTTTTGCGACGACATCATGCTTCCTCTCTGTAATTTAGCTATCCTGCTGTGCACTCTCTTTCTTCTCCTTTCTTTTATTTTTCTCTTTTACTTTGATAAGCAAACAAACATTTTGGCTCTAGTTGTGGGAAGTGACAATCATTTGACCAAAACACATCTCATAATTTATTTAACTGGTGCTCTTACACCAACTCGTAGTTGAGTTATATGCTTGGAAGTAATAAAGGTTGCTAGGAATCTCTCTTTCTCACTTTGAGCAAAATGAGTGACACACTTCACAATTCTATTTCCCACATGGCCGGGAAGAGAAATATTGGAGACAACAGAAACAAACAAAACTAATATCTTTAAATAGAAAAAAATACAAAGTTGACATTTTTATTCACACATTTTCTTGTTGTTCCCCCGAAGGCCCCAACTAAAGATTGCCTTATAAAATTAATAAAAATTTTAGCATGTCAATTTCTTAAAACATTTTCATTTTATTATTTGAAAGTGTTAATTAATATTTTGTAACACTAATTTTGTTTGAAATAAAAATTTATATATCATACAATAACAAGAATTTTAAGAAGTTTCTCTATATCTACGGTATATTTAGTTTCCAAAGATGTGAATGTCAATTTTATTCACAAGTCATGATTTTTACCAAATTTACTTTTTTGGCATACACAAACTCAAAAAGACAGTTCCACCACACTCCCCTTACCTCCTCCTTTTTGTCAATTTCTAACTCCGTCCCTGGCCAACCCAGCAGCTTCACCAAACATCACCTTATTAACTGGTCTGCACTCCGTGTCCGTGTGGCGTCAGATATTTGTTACTGGAAGATTCCCTTGCCAACCCCAGAAATCTTGTTCAAGTTCGAATCCAAACGTGATTCGTAGGATGACATTTTTCTTTTCGAAACGAAAAATATGTCATTGATTGAAAGGAAAAGCCAAAATCAAGAAGTTCTGTGGTAATATTAAAATATTAAAATGTCTAATAATAATTATATAATAAATTTAATAAATTTAGTGTCTACATTTTATTTTACATTTTTAATAGTTGTGATCGAACATTTTACATTTTAAAACGTTCTAATTTTTCCTTCTCTCTTAATTAAATACACTATACAAGAATAAGGTAGAGTTCCCAAAAAAAAAAAGATGTGTAGCATAAGGATATAATAGTCAGTTAAGCCAAAAAAGTTTGACAGTAATTATTTTTATATGACAATTATCCCACCATTTCCTAACTCTAATCAAAACATATGTTAAAAAGATGTTAAAAGGTATAATTAATGTTTCTTTATTATATTAATTTATACAAAAAAAAAATTGCATTAATTTCTCTACCAATATCATGTTGAACAATTGATTAAATAAAAATTAATTTTTATTTTTTATTATCAATTAATATAAAAAATATGTATTTATTACATCCTCAATTTGCTACACAAAATAGAAAAAACTCCTATAATTTTCACCGACGCTAACCAAAAAGATAGAAAGGATCAAGATTTTGGTTGGCCAATTTAGAGGCAATTCTGGGGATAAAACTTTAGAAGGTTTTGCATGTGCGCCTTGATTTTCCCTAATTTCGATAGGGAGGGAAGCTGAGAGGATGAAATGGAGGCATGATTTTGGTGGGTACTAGGAAGCCTTGAACAAAGGCAAAGATGAGGAGCTTAAAAGTAACCAAACCAAGAGATGAACATAAAAGTTAGTCCTATGGAGGAGATGGGAGAAAAAGAGAGTGAGGATAGTGAAGAGGAAGATGATTGGCAGGAGAGAGAGGAGCCTGAGAATGCCATTGGGGATCTTCAAAGCAATGAAATTG